GACTAAACTAATAAAAACAAAAGATATTATATTAGATTCTGGTGTGTAGTTATAATATCCTTATTATTTCCAAATGAATTTCCAATTGAACTCATACTTGAATAGCTTTGTTGTCAGTCATAAATTCTTTAAATCATGTCATTTTTACTGCTAAGCTCCTTAAATCATCTTTTAGTTAACTGACTGCTTTCATTTATAAGTTGGAACCTCAAAAAGGACTCCGGATCTAGTTTTTTCAGTTCATGCATATTTGAAATATCCACGGTTTTATATATGAAAAAGATTTTGTCTGGTCATAAAATTTCAGTCATTTTCTTTCACGCAAAATTTTGTAGAGGGGCTGGAGCAATAGCACAGTGGTAGGGCGTTTGTCTTGCACGTGGCCGACCTGGGTTCAATTCCCAGAATTCCATATGGTCCTCTGAGCACCACCAGGAGTAATTCCTGAGTTCTGAGCCAGGAGTAACCCCTGTGCATCGCTGAGTGTGACCCAAAAAGAAAAAAAACTTTTTTGTAGATACTTTCTATTGAATTTGTTGTACAGAAAATTCTAAGTTCTTAATTTTTACTTAGTGTGATTTTCCTTTCTCTGAAATATTATTATAGTTACTTTTTTATTTTTAAAACTTAGCCACTAGAATACATCTTTGTATTCAAGAAATAAAATTTCCTTGGGAGTTTATCTCATTACTTCACTTAAAACTACACTATATAATAGCTACCGTGATTAAAACATCATGACACTGAAATAAGATAAATTCTCTTACCAATGCGTTAGAATAGAATACCGAAAGAAAAACCTCTAGATATGGTCAACTTATTTTTTGACAAAGTAGCTTGGCACAAAGAATTAAGAGTCTCTTCAATAAATGTTTTATAAAATGAAACTGAAACCATATCTTGCACCTACACAAAAGTCAATTCAAAGTGAATCAAAGACCATGAGATCAGACCAGAATCTATAAAGCTCATTGAAAACAATGGCAGAAAGCTCCAAGATTGTACCTCAAACATGTCTTCAAAGGTTTGCCTTTTCATTGGCAAAGGAAACAAAAACAAAAATAGACAAATGGAACTACACTTTTTTTTTTTTTTTTTTGCTTTTTGGGTCACACCTGGCAATGCACAAGTGTTACTCCTGGCTCTGCACTCAGGAATTACTCCTGGCGGTGCTCAGGAAACCATATGGGATGCTGGGAATCAAACTTGGGTAGGCCACATGCAAGGCAAACACCCCACCTGCTATGCTATCGCTCCAGCCCTGGAACTACAAATTTTAAGAGTTTATGCATAGCAAAAGAAACATGAATTAAAATAAATGACACCCAACTTAATGGGAGAAAATATTCACACTCAACACATCAGATAAAGGGTTATTATCCAAAAAATATAAAGAATTCACAAAGATGACCACCAGCAACAAAAACTATCAAAAGATGGGGTGAGGAAATAAACATACACTTCTCTGAAGACAGACAAATAGCAAATGAACACAAATAGCAAATGAACACATGGAAAAAGTGCTCACTATTACCTATTATCAGGGAAATATCAATTAAGACAACAATGATCTATCATCTCACAACAGTGAGAATGGCACGTTTCAAAAACCTTGTGGACGAATCTGTTGGCTAGCATGTAGTGGGGAAGGAACTCTCATACACTGCTGATTAAACTGTTATCTGGTTCAACCCAGATAGTGTAGAGGTTTCTTAGAAGAGTAATAATAGAGTTGCCATATGATCCAGCAATTCCACTCCTTGATATCTACCCCCAAGGACACAAAAACTCATTCAAAAGAATACATAGGGGCTGGAGCAATAGCACAGCGGGTAGGGCGTTTGCCTTGCACACGGCCGACCCGGGTTCGATTTCCAGCATCCCATATGGTCCCCCGAGCACCACCAGGAGTGATTCCTGAGTGCAAAGCCAGGAATAACCCCTGTCCATCGCCGGGTGTGACCCAAAAAGAAAAAAAGAATTCATAACACCATTATTCACTGTAGAGATTAGCACAATAGCTAGGTCATGGAATACATCTATTGTCCAACAATAGATGAGTAAAATATGAAGGAGTTTCCACAGTGGTTTACTATACAGCTGCAAGGACTGATGGAATCGTGTAGCTACTACAACTAGACTGGAACTGGAGGAAGACAAATACCAGATGATTTCACGTATCTGTGGTAAACAGATTATCAAGACAAAGAATGCAAGGTATCAAAGTGGTAAAATACCTAGATTATCCTGAGATTATAGAACTGACAGAAGAAATCAAGGGAAGAAAATGTGAATAGGACAAAGGAGTAAGGGGAGGGACCTCAGATAATCTATACCACAGAGCCAACTACACTGAGATCCAAACTATAACCACCGAACTTAAAAAATGCACCTCCTCAGAAGGGAATCTAGGGTGCAGGAGGGAAATTGATGACATTGGTGGAGAGAAGTTGACAGTGGTGATGGGATTGGTGTTGAAAAGTTTTTTTGTATTTTTTTTTAATTTTTATTAGTGAAACACCATGAGGTACAGTTGTAGATTTACAAGTTTTTGTGCTTGGGTTTCAGTTATACAATGATCAAACACCCATCCCTCCAACCAGTGCCCATTTTCCACCACCATGGGTCCCAATATCCCTCCAACACCCCATCCCCCCACTCCACCCTGCCTCTGTGGCAGGGCATTTCCTTTTGTTCTCTCTTTTCTTTTGGGTGTTGTGGTTTGCAAAAGAAGCATTGAGTGGCAATCATGTTCAATCCACAGTCTACTTTCAGCATGCTTCTCCCATCCTGGGAGGATCTTCCCAACACCCTTTATTTGGTGCTCCTTTCTCTATCTGAGCTCCCTTTTCCCCTAGAATGTGTGGCTGGCCTCCAAAACTCAACTATGTAAATCATGGTACAATGACTTTTTTAAAAAAGTTTTAAAAATCGTTTACTGGAATTTTAAAAATATTTTGAATCTTTTATTCCAAGTTTCTATCTCTAAATAGCACTGATTTCATCCCATGTGCTCATATTTTACTTCTACTATATTCAGTCAATAGGGCATTTGCTTTGCACGAGGTTGACCCAGGTTCGATTCCTCCATCCCTCTCGGAGAGCCCGGCAAGCTACCAAGAGTATCCCATCACACAGCAGAGCCTGACAAGCTCCCTGTGACGTATTCGATATGCCAAAGACAGTAACAAGTCTCACAATGGAGATGTTAATGGTGCCCGCTTGAACAAATCGATGAACAATGGGAGGACAGTGACAGTTCAGTAAATGCAGTGGTGCTCAGGATTTACTTCTGGCTCTGTTCTGGTGACCATTATGGTTCCAGAATTCAAAACTGGCTTTGCCATGTGCAAGAACCTTATCTACTGTGCTGTCTCGCCAGTCACCCTGTCAAGATTTTAATAGCATCATTGTGATCCCGAACTTATCTCTTAGGCCATATATTCTCCTTTTTCATTTCATTCATCATTTTGAGATTTATCTTAATGAACTCATTAATTCATTAAGTTGCTCTGTAGTATTAAATACTTGTTCCTCAAAATAGTTATTTTCTTTGCTGGATTTTCCCCAGTCTACATAACTCTCATGTTATTTTTAATGTCTTGTTCACCCTTGGACAGCTCTATTGAAATCCTCTCTATACACTGATGTTTCTCAATCGTTTAAGAATTTCTTGAATAAGTCTATGTGCCAGGCATAAATCAGTGAATAAAACGGAAAAGAAAATGAAGTGCTAGGGAGATGATTCAAAGGGTGGAACTTTTACTATGAGTGCAGAGGTTTTAGGCTCAGCACCCTGCACTGCATCGCCTTCCCTGCAAATCAGTTTTCAACAGGGGTCAGTAGTGTAGATATTCTGTTGCTACAAACTTCAGTGGTTTGCATTTAATGACATGTTTTTATGCACCGAATTTTGGGGGGACATTCTCAGCTACCTGATGCTGACTTGACCTTCACTTGATTTTTACCTCATGGCTGAGTTGGGCTGGAGGATCCAATGGAAGAACATTTCACACGACTTCACAGGCGCCTGAACTCAGCAAGGTTGACTCAAGCCTGGATTCAGATGGGATGCTCTCCCCTCCAGAGTCTAAGTTCTCCAGGTGATTTCCACACCAGAGAAATCAGGTATTAGGGGAAATTCTCAGGATTCTGAGTCCAAGATATAATTTTCTATTCTGGAAGCTAAGAGTGCCATACTCTGTAGTCCACATAGAAACAAAATGGGACTGGCTAGGGTAGAAAGGGAAGCAGACAACAGGGAAGGTATGGTGTTGAAACAATGTATTCCTGAAACCCAATCAAGAATGACTTTGTTAGTCCTGGCTCTGCACTCAGGAATCATTCCAGGCGGTGTTCAGGGGACAATAGGAGATGCCCGGGATCAAACTGTTTGAGCCGTTTGCAAGGCAAACGCCTACCCTTGGTACTATAGTTCCGGCCCCTAATCATGAAAAGCTTTGTAATTCATTTACTTAATTTAAAAAAAAATTTATTACATAGACCAGTCTTAAAAGGATGAAATAAGGCTTTTCTCAACTAAAGTGCCAAAAATTCTTTCATTTAGTAGGCTCCACTGAGAACTGAGAGACAAATATTTCAAGATCTCTAGAGAAAGAAAAAACACAGTGCATAATTTTCTAGTCAGGAGTATGGTTGAATGAAATTAGAAAAATAATGGGGAGTAGACAAGTGAGAAGAGGCAGATGGAACATTTTCTCTGTAAGAAATGTTTTCTACTCCTCAATTACCACTTGCAACCTAGAATATTGAATCATAAGGAGCCATGAAAGGAAACCAAGCTTACTAGGTGAGAATAGTGGTGCCAGGACAGAAAATACACTCACCCTCAAGACGCTGGCTCTGGAGTCAGCCTGGCCAGGAACTGCCCGCTGCCTCAGATACAAGTTAGGAAGTGACCTTTGATAACTTACGAACAAAGTATCCCACACTTAAATATTCCAAAATTGTTTCTGATAACTAGAATTCAGACACATTAATTTAAGAAATAAACATTTATTGGGTAGATATTTATTTAGCAATGTAACATTTTCTAGAGAAAAAGTTTAACTTCTCAAGACAGAGTCAAACAAGTTTTCATTATTCTGTTATCACTGGAATCTATAATCCTATATCCACTTTAATAAAGGTAAAAAATAACAAATTTAAAATAGAAAAAATACTCAGATATCCAAATTATCCTAAAACTCATATTTTAAGGTTAAAAAAAGACAATCTATGTATCCAATGTGTAAAAGGATACCTGTTTAGTACTAATCATCATTTGGGTAGTAATTTCTACATATTAAAGTAAACCAAGGTACTTTCTTTCTACAACTTCTAAACCATTTCTAAGCAAAAGACTATGTAAAATACATTTGAAAAACTGAAGATACTCCAAGTTTTTCCAGCTTTTGATTTCAGGAAGAAATGAAAACCATCATTTTCTTCAAAGATCTATGACATCAGACATCAGAAACAATAGGCCTGTTTGATTTTATACAAAAGTTAAAAATGGCTATTTCCTATTATAGTAAAAGTCTTACTTTTAGTTTTTGTTTTGGGGCCTCAACTGGTATTGCTCAGGGATCACTTCAGTCAGTGCTTGAGAGACCATACTGAGTGTCAAGGATCTGCTGTGTGCAAAGCAAACTTCCTCCCTGCTGTGCGCTCTCTCTGGCCCCAGTACTTCTAAAATAAAATATACACTGCTGCATTCACTACAAATTTTGCAAAACTTTATTATGTTGTTAAGTGTGTGTGTATATGCTCATAAATTCAGACTAAATATATAAACTAATCAATGGTTCCACATCAGTTCGTAAATACAGTATTAAAATGTCTGGCTACAGATCCTCCAATTGTATTTATAGCATTAGACCTGATTTTTGAATTCTGTAAGAGGTTCACTTTTGCTTTATAATTTCTAGAAAATACTAAACAATCCAATTGGATATTTGTAGAGCTTAAATAAAAAAATCTATTTCATTTAAATATGTCTAACTTCACAATATAATACTTTTGAATTTCCAAGTCCAATATGCTATCCATGTTCTTCTCAATATGTCTTATGCCATCACTCAGACTTAAGTTTATACAAAACACCACAGCTATCAAGGAACCAAACACAGTTCAGTGGTAGCACACATACCTTGTACTTTAAGGTACTGGGTTTGGCTCTCAATGACATAGCGGGTGGGGGGGGTGGGAAAGGAAACAAACATCAGAACTCAATTTTGCCAGACTTAATAGACAAAAGAAAAGGCATGGCTGTTTTGGAAATGTATAAAAGGATACCTGTTTAGTACTAATCATTATTCTATCTAGCTGTACTAAATATTAAAACATAATAAGGATGTTATTTCAAATACTGAACTACTTTTAAGAAATGGATTAATATGGCCCTATTACTTGGCATACTTCATTCCTGTATTTCTTCTCTAAGGAATTAAAAAGATATTTTAAAAAGTGGTTAGTGGTCTCTAAAAACACCTCAGTATGGTTCCAGTTTCTACCTAAGAGAGCTACTTCTTACAATATAAACTTTGAAAACAGAAGACAGTAAATACTATCTTTGAAGCATTTTTCCTTTAATATACTTTTACTGTCTTCTGTTCTCTCTTAAATCAATTCATAATAACTCAACTGAAAGTATGTCTACTGAGAAATCAGTGGGAGGTAAGTTCATTTGTAAGCTGTCAATATAAGGGAGGGAGGGTTCCTAGCCCTGGTATCCCAGCAAGCACCTAGGAAAACTGTCGTGATATGTCCCAGGGCCACCTTAAAGGTAATGTGAAAACCTCCCCACCCCCGACTATTTGTTCTGTGAATCTATATGTTAAGTCTTGCTTAGTCAAAATCTGAAGAAATTAAAAGGATAATGTTAAGATGGAAGATACCTGTCCTGGTACTTCCTCGGTTCTTAGCTTATAACTGGGATCCAGTTTTTTAAATGATCTTCAATACATGATCAGTAACTAGACTAAGAAGAAACTACTCTAGTATCAACAAATAAAAACTGTTCTCCCTTCCATGAAAGCAAACACCTTTCCTTATATCTGAAGACCCTCAGATCTTTCCTTATATCTGAAGACTCACCTCAAGAAAGGTCAGAACACAGTGGCACAGGGGGGAGGGCGACAGCCCAAAAATGACTATTTCTACACCATTTCTTTCCATTTCCACTTCTTGATTTTCTCACTCATTCCATCTTTTCTTTTTCTGCCCTTTACCATTCTCACTCTTTCCTTTCTCTCCCATCACTTTTCTCACTTCCTCTCTTTTCCTTCCCTTTGTACCATTCATTCATATCCTTCTTCTCTGCTTTTTTCTTCCATAAAAACTCTTTCCCACTGGTCAGAGATGTGTAGTTCAGTGGCAAAGTATATACTTTACAAGTAAGATACTCTAGATTTCATTTCTAAGGTACCACTACACCCAAGAAAAGCATCTCTCCCTTCATACTAGAGGTACTAAAACATGTGAGAAAACATTCAGCTTAAGGGAACTGAATGTACAAGAAAAAGGCAAAATAAAACTTCAACACTAATGCTGGTATGGCATAACCATGGCATAAGCTACACAGAGTGCTTTCAAACCCATGACTCTCATCTAAGTCTCATCTTGTGAGGTTGGAAAGGCCTGCTGATTTTTATAAATCTAAGGCACAAGAGAAGGTTAAATGATATCTTCTCTCTCTGAATAAGAAAATTACCTAGTTCAGCATTCTTCAGTCTTTGTAAGCCTGCAAACCTACACCTGGTCTTGCATGCCTGTCCACGAACTAGCGGTCATGACCTAGGGAGCAGACCAGTGGTTTTTGGCCATTTTACACCTATGGACCAGCATTTGAAGAATGCTCATCTAGTTTAACCTGATTCTTTTATTCACAAAAACAATAACAATGCTATACCTGACTGGAAGCAAGACTGAGAGAGCCCTAAAGTATTTAGATAACTTGGTTATCTTACACATAATGAACTACTCTTCATAGGAAAAAACAGCTATGCATTTACTCATGACCTAATCACAATATACATTTTTTGGATTAAACATGACTTCATAGTACTAATTATTTTAGAACACATAAGGTTGAGATTCTTTGTAAGGAAATAAAATCTAAAGAATTTATAATAATATAAATTTCACAGCTTGTTAACAACTCCATTATTGAAGTAGTTAAGAAACTATTTATAATCTACCAACTTTCCCAAGGATCGTGATATCCTAACCCAAGCTTCAAGTTGGCAAAATAATTTCCAGTAGTTTCCAAACTAGAGGACATCAAAATCCCTGAATACTTTTAAAAATTCAGGTTACTTAATTTGTATCCTAATTCTGACACTGATGAAATCTGGATAATTTGCTTAAGGTCTGGATATAAAATGAAGTAATTATCATGATAAAAATGTTCACAGCAATGAAATCATATGTCTGACTGACTTTAAAATAATCCAGGTAGAAAAGAGAAAGATGACTGTTAACAAGTAATCTAAACTACAAATATCATTGTACTATTCCATTAATTTTTGTGTAATTTCTAGATTTTCTCACCAATTTTGCTAGAAACAGTATGTTTAGAGTCTCCAATGGGTTCAATCTGTTCTCATGAAGTTCCCTTACAATAACATATCTTAGGCAAGCAATGGCCTCATTAAACAAACATTAGGAATTATCTTATAAGATAAACCCTCCAAATTTCAAATTTCTAGCATTCCCAGTTTCCACTGAGCAAACTAAATTCCAACACAAATTTGCCAGGGCAAAATTTCATAAATTTGCCAGAGTATTTTGCCAAGGAAGTACAGATGGTATTTAAGGTCATCTAAGAGTGCTGGGCTCTGGAGATCAATTTCTAATGTGACTTTCTATATGTCTTGATTGAACTGCAAAAGATAGGAGACATCTATACTTATTTCTATATATTCTCTAGAGAGCACTTTATGTTCTTAAAATCAATTTTCATGTAAAATATTTTTCTTCATGACTATCTCTTTTCCATCTAGTATTAAACTATAAAATTAAATATAAAAATATCAAAATTTAGTATTAAAGTATCAAAAATAGAAAAAACATTTTGAGAACAAAATGAGTATGATAAAATGTTCTGTGTCACATGCTCAAAATACTAGTCTATTAGTGATTAGGATATTAAAAGGATTTTTTTCTTATCATCAACCTTTTTTATATGTATGAAGTGATGCTAAATTGAAGGATAATTAACTGTCTACAATCAGATGTAACAATCCTCTTAATCTAAATCATTCATGAACACTGTCAAACTTTCATACAGTAAGGCGAGGCTCCTTAGGAAGAATTTACTTGTTCAAAAATATCTTGCAAAACCATTTTGAGGTAGAAGAGTAAGAATTTAAATGGATTGTTTTCCTGCTCCCCTGTAACTAAAGTAACTGTTACAGAAATACAGAGCTTATGCATCTTTGTCCCATCAAAATTTCTACTATCATGGGTGCTCTGACTTGATGTAGGTTTGGTTTTCACTTTATGATCAGCACTTTTTTTTTGCTTCCAGAATGCCCAGTAAAGTTGAAAGTTTTTATTTAAATTTTAAAAAATCTCAAAATAGCTACTCCATTTCTTAGATGACCTAAAAAATTTACTTCAAAATGTTTAGTTTTCTTTCTTATAGTTCAATTTCAAATATGCAGCTTATTATCTAAAAATAATTTTAAACATGATTGTCACCAAAAAATTTATAACAGAGATGAAATGCATAAAGGCACATATAGATTGTCAATGGTTATATCAGTTACATCACATTTAGTTTAGAAACAGAACCTTTTCTGCTCCTGTAAACAACTTTTTCTCACACATTTAAAGTGAGGTTAGTGCTGTCATAAAATTATTGCTAGACTCACAGCTTGAGTGTTTTCACTGTATATGAGGTACATCTTCGCCATCTATATACCCCTACCATGCTTACACGTTTCAGACTGAGCATCAACCAAAGTCTGTAAGCTACAACCATTCGATAACATTTTCAATGATGGAAAGGTAGCAAATAACAAAAAAATCAGGTATAAAAATGTCTTTGTTGGGAGTCAAAAGCAAACATTCCTCATTATATGAACACTACTCATTTAACATTTAGGGAAAAAAATATTCTGAAGATGAAAATTTTCTTCCGAAACACTTCATCAAAGACTGTTTCTTCACACAGAATCTGATATTTTGTTGTTTTAATTCACTTCTTTGGTGGTCACCATGAATCACCTTTCCTTTGGTGGTCTGTAATGTTCTTTTACACTTTTTGTAAGCTGCTTGAGGAATATTTTGTAAATTTTCCCACAGTATGTATGCACTGTCTTTTGTAGTTCCAATTCTAAAGGTTTTAATAAGGAATTGATGTTGTCATCTTCAAAAGAACACTAGAAAGAAAATAAAAACAGTGAAATATAAGCAGATAAATTAATTCCAAACAACTTTTTCAATCTGTACTGACAATCTCCACTTAAAGTTTCATGCAAAGTAAAAGTACATATTCAACAAGTAACATTAAAAAAATAATTTTAATATTTATTTCAGTTTGGGGACCACACTTGGTGGTGCACCATCACCTAAGCATAGGTCTTCCTCCAGACTGCAGGCTGCAACCACTCACCTTCACCTTTTGGTGGCTGAACTCCTTCCAGAGAGCTCAATTCAAGGTTTAGCTCCTCTGACTTTTCCTGACAATAATAACTCTCTCTTCAGGGGCATAGTACTCAATACACACACTTTTTATTTTTTTGGTTTTTGGGTCACACCCGGTGATGCACAGGGGCTACTTCTGGCTCATGTATTCAGGAATTACTCCTGGCGGTGCTCAGGGGACCATATGGGATGGGAATCAAACCCGGGTCGGCTCTGTGCAAGGCGAACGCCCTACCCGCTATGCTATTGCTTCAGCCCCCAATACATACACACACTTTTTAAAATGCCACTCTTTACATACAAGACTGTAGTTTAAAAAGCTGTAGCAATCACAATTAGATCATTTGAGTCACTTTTATTTTTTTAAAGTGTAAGCCCTGATTTTATTTTTTTTACATTTAATTATTTTATTTTATTTTATTTTTAATTTTTATTAGTGAGACACCATGAGGTACAGTTGTAGATTTACAAATTTTTGTGCTTGGGTTTCAATTACACAATGATCAAATACTCATCCCTCCACCAGTACCCATTTCCCACCACCACGGATCCCAGTATCCCTCCCACCCCCCAATCCCACCCTGCCTCTGTGGCAGGGCATTCCCTTTTTTTCTCTCTCTCTTATTGGGTTTTGTGGTTTGCAAAAGAGGCAATGGGTGACAATCATGTTTGGTCTATAGTCTACTTTCAGCATGCTTCTCCCATCCTGGGAGGATCCTCCCAACACCCTTTATTTGGTGCTCCCTTCTCTATCTGAGCTCCCTTTTCCCCTAACATGTGTGGCTGGCCTCCAAGCCATGGAGTAAAATTCCTGGTACTAATCTCGGCCATTCTTGGGTGTAAGTCTCCTTATTTTGTTACTTTATGTTCCCCAGATGAATGCAATCTTTCTATGTCTATCCCTTTCTTTCTGCATCATTTAGCTTAACATGATACTTTCCATGTAGTACCACTTGTATGTAAATTTCATGACTTCGTCTTTTCTATATTTGAGTCACTTTTAGAGAAAAGAACCAGTTTTTAAAAATATAGCTGAATGGCAGTTCAATTTAACAGGGGCTGAATGCCAACTACATACCAAACAAGTAATGTAAGAAGGAAACATTTCAGAGAACCATGAGGAAATAATTATGCAAATATAAGGTGTGAAGTAAATCAATGTTAGCACGAAAACACCAAGAAACATGATAATTCAGAATGAAATACTCTATGCCTGATAAAGCAATAAAATTTTGAGCTTGTGATTTTGTATTTTTCATTCACTCAACTTAGATTATCAAATATTTATGGATTATAAAACCTGATTTGCTAGAAGACATAGCCAGACACATATTTTAAAGGCAGTTTACAGCTCCTGTAATTCATGTTTTTCAACTGGCAATGAAAAAATTCTGTTTGAAACTTGCATAAATATCTTTGTAGGAATGCAATTTTTATTAAGTTTGTATTTCTTACTGAGTTAAAAACACCAGTGATACTATAAAAGACTGATTAACTTAATTAAATTGAAAAATGGATATAAACTACAGTTAACACACAAAAATCACTGGGTATTTGAAATTATTTTTAAAATGAGGTTTTTAAAAAATCAAGCATTAAATATAAGCTTAAAAATTACTGAAAGGAATATATTCAAAAGGAATATATGTATAAATCAAACAAAATGTAAGATAAAACTAGGCAGATTTAATAACAAATTTGTTAAATGCTGAAAGGAAACAAATTGTATTTTTATGTGTGCATTTTTCTCTACCCTGAAAAGTCACAGAATACCAAAAGTACTTTTATTCATTTTTATCACTTTATGACATCCATAAAAATTTTTTAAATGAAATATTAGTTTTCACAGGCATACAAGGTCTGCTACATTAAAATGTACATCAACTCTACATTTCATACTTATTTCGTAAATAAAGCTTTATCATAATAAATTATATTATGATTATGCAGGAACTAATAGGCTTAGAAAGCAAGAAATTTAGCAAATAGTACAGTATATAATGCTGTTAGCACCACTGAGAAAGTGATTTCAAGAGAAAATTCCAATTTCTATTCACACAGATCACAGTGTGCCATCTCCAACATGCAGGCCCGCCCAAATCCTTCCCCCACCATCAGCCATCACTCCAGTCCAACTGAATAGCCCAATACCTATGGATTCTTTTTAACTCAATCCTCTCCCCCAATCCTACCTCAGGCATTTTTTTTACCCAGAGAAGCACCTGTTAATCTGGACATTCTTACTTATTCTTCAGGGTCCACTTCCAATTCACAGTGACCTTTGTGACCCTTCTATACAAAACTGTTATAATTCTTTCACAGTTTTGGTGGTCTCTGTCATATTAATTCTCATTCCTATTAATGAAACTATAATTAAAGGTTTTCAGTCATTAGCAAATGAGAATCTAATGAAGAGAAGCCATAGCTCTTCACCTGACCCCAACATTTAAGCAAAAAAGCACTCTTTTTTACTTTCATCTTCATGTCCATTTAAGATTAAGCATTGGGGCTGGAGTGATAGTACAGTGGGTAGGGTGTTTGCCTTGCACGCAACCGACCTGGGTTCGATTCCCAGCATCCCATATGGTCCCCTGAGCACCGCCAGGAGTAATTCCTAAGTGCATGAGCCAGGAGTAACCCCTATGCATCACCACGTGTGAAACACACACACACACACACACACACACAAAAGATTACGCATAATCAGGGGGAGAAAGATATAGCACCTGGCTTGAAGTGCTTCCTTTACTTGCAGCCAACCCTGGTTTGATACCATGCCTGGTATTTAAATGGTCTGATGAACACAGAGAACTGTCAAGAGAGACTCCAAGCACAGAGCCAGGAAGAATCCCTGAGCACCACCAGGTATGAAAGAGCCCTCTCATCACCAACCGCCCCCCCAAGAAAAAACCAAATAAGTATATCTAATATAACAGAGAGCAAATCTACTCAAGTGTTAAGTGATACCCCTGAAGAATGCTAAAACACACACACTTTAAATGACTTATAATTGTAATATATAATGTCTCAATAAATCTATTAAAAATCTATAAAATAAGTGAAAGACATGAAATAAAACTTTAAAAATTATATATGACCAGAATCTGGACCTGAACTTGTCCCAACATCCTGCTGATCGTGCATCCTGCCTTCAGCCACCGCCTTCCAGTGCCTCCACCTTCCTCTCCCAGGTGTGCCAACTTCCGTGACCAAGTGCAACAGTCCCTGTGCGTGCGCCCCAGCCTGGATCCAAACTCATGCCAGCATCCCTCGGGCCAGCAGAGGGCATGGCCTCCAGGGCAAGGGGTCACGGCCACAGTCATTTCCCCCATTTTCCCCTCTCCCGGCACTCTGGACTCACATCTCAATCCCCTTTACCTAATTCTGTGGAGAACTCCCTGGCTATCTCAAACATACTAGCCTATTCCATCTGCACCAAAATACCGATGAACTCAAGTCTATTCCAACTTTGCCAAAGTACCAGTGAATACAAGAAGCTGTACAAGCCCAATATAAAAGAACACATTCTCCAATCCTTCACTAGAGGCCTCACATAAGTCAGAGAGAACCACCTGAGAGGAAAGACGTATTCTAGAAAGGGAAAAAGGCAACCACCATTGACCGAGTTCATCCATCCTTTCTCACAGTAAGAGGGAACAGTGCTAGTGAACTGGAGGATCCCACCTCCATAAAACCACCACAACATGAAGAAACAGCGCAAATCCCCACTACAAGCAGAGGATGAAGAAAAGAGTTCAGGAGCCTCAACAGGGCTTACCCACAAATACAATCTCTCCAATAAAGAATTCAGAGATAAAATATTGAGGATGTTCAATGAACTCAAAGAAGCAGTGGAGAAGACATACAGTACAGTAAAGGAGGACATGAAAGAAACAATGGAAGGGACAACCAAGAAAATACAGGAAGAAATGAGAGCAGACGTCCCCCACGCCCCACCGAGGTCGCCAGCTGCCCCCCACGAGCGGCTCTCCGGCACGGCCACGGCCCCCAAGGCACAAGGACTTAGCACAGAGAATCAGCGCTTGGAGCAGAAAAGCAAATGGACTTGTGTTGAACCGCGCCACCAAGCCTGCCCGGAGGGGAAAGGGCGTTGACCGGCCCGCCCGCTCCTCTCTGGAAAGAAAGATGGCGGCCGCACGGGAGCCTTGTGGAAAGCAGGTTTGAGCCGGGGCTGGCGGGAACGGCGGGGACCTCATGGGAAGGGGGGCTTTGTGGGCCGTCCCCCAAGCCCCACCGAGGTCGCCAGCTGCCCCCCACGAGCGGCTCTCTGGCACGGTCACGGCCCCGGAGGCACAAGGACTTAGCACAGAGAACCAGCCGCTTGGAGCAGAAAAGCAAATGGACTTGTGTTGAACCGCGCCACCAAGCCTGCCCGGAGGGGAAAGGGCGTTGACCGGCCCGCCCGCTCCTCTCTGGAAAGAAAGATGGCGGCCGCACGGGAGCCTTGTGGAAAGCAGGTTTGAGCCGGGGCTGGCGGGAACGGCGGGGACCTCATGGGAAGGGGGGCTTTGTGGGCCGTCCCCCACGCCCCACCGAGGTCGCCAGCTGCCCCCCACGAGCGGCTCTCCGGCACGGCCACGGCCCCGGAGGCACAAGGACTTAGCACAGAGAACCAGCCGCTTGGAGCAGAAAAGCAAATGGACTTGTGTTGAACCGCGCCACCAAGCCTGCCCGGGGGGGAAAGAAGGTTGACCGGCCCGCCCGCTCCTCTCTG